ACCACCTGAAACTCAAAATGTATGCAGGGGATTTTATATGAAGCAGGAAAGTAAAATTTTGGCAACCTACCTAACCCTATGTCATAGCTTGGTGGGTCCCTATTAGTTTGATTAAGGATGATTTTTGTTAAGCAAAACATATTAAGTTTAGTAGACATCTGAGGTATCCAACAGGTCTAGAGGAAGAAGCAAGTCCATGCTTCCCTCTTACTACCTGGTGAAAAGTCTCAAGCTCATTTAAACTTATTATGTTGCTTAATAATACATCCTATAAATACCTTTAATGCTCAGTGAACAATGATGTTTCAATTATCCCTAAGAGTAGGGTAATTATCATTTGTGATTTAATTTGTAAATTATGTGGGTGAAAACCCTTAAAGAGGCAAGTTAGTGCTATCAAAGACATTTAGCCATATTTGATTTAGCCTAGGTCACTACTAAGCTCTTAAGGTTTTTGGTAGATGTCTTGGTTATTTTTAAAGAGATTAAAATTTTAAGTGATGATGATTCATTTTTGAAAATCATTTGAACATCAAGTGGGGTGTTAAATTGGTGAGTTATTAACTTTCAAAGTCATACCCCTAAGTCTAAGATCATTTAATTTAATAGACTTCCAAATTTTAATAAAAAATATTAATAATTTAAGGAATTACAAATTTATCCCTTGATTATGAAAGAGTGAGGTTGGTTTCTACCAGTTAATCCCCTTATGTTTTAATTATCCAAGTAAGTTAGTTAAAATCAGGGGTTACCTTTTTCCCTCCTTGAAATAAGCCAAAATGTTAATTAAGGCCAAATTTCTAAAATTACACTTTTGCCCCTGAGGCTCTATCACTTCATAATTTCACAAATTTAAATCAAATGACTTTAAAATTTTTATCTTACCTTACTCATAGGTCAATCAACACATCAGAGGAGAAAATGTGATTTTTTAAAATTTTGATTTAATTTACATATTTATTTTAATGTAAAAATAGTGATTTTTCAATGTTGATTTATTTAATTACAAAAGAGAATCTCATAACTTAACCAAGGCAAAGTCTAATCCCTTGAAAATTTTACTGGAGGTAGACTTAGAGTAGAGAAGCATTGGGACCAATAGTCATGATTTATTAAATTATATTTGGACCAATAGTCATGATTTATTAAATTATATTTGAATTTTAAGAATTATTTTAAGTTCTAGAGTATTTATTAATTATAAAATATTTTAAGTGTGGAAAATTAAGTTTTATATTTTTATTAAATCTCTCTAATATCAAGAGACATAGAGAAATAAAATTCACATTTTTTTGACTTTTTTTTTGAAGTTTTAGAATTATTTTACTGAAAATCCATTTTTAGACTTTAAAATTTATTTTAAGCTTTAAAATTCAATACCTTCATTTAGTAAATTAAGAAAAGCATTCCAATTGTTCCTAAGTGCTTAGAAAATAATTTAGAACATTTTGATGAATTTTATTACTTTTGGGATTTTTATCTTTTTTTAATTATTTAAATATTAAAAATAGCCTTGAAAATGGAATTTTTATTTAATTTTAAATTTATTTTTATAAAATTTATCTGATCATAGTGAACTCCAAAAACCAATTTTTTATAATTTTTTGAGTTATATTTTAATTTTTAAAATTCATTATAGTACCCAAAATGTCATTTAACTTGAAAATTCAATTTGAGTTATTAAATGAGCTCCAAATGTTTTGAAACTTTTATGGGGAGTTCTATGAACTTTGAATCTTAGTGGAGATTAAATATCAAGTCATTTAGATGTTTGTGTTACCCAAAATTAATTTTCTTTGTGTTTTAGGGTTGGTAGAAATTAGGTGCATTCTAAATGACTTAACCCATGAAATATTTTTCAAAGGGTTCTCTGGTCATAGCAAACCTTCCAAAATTTTATTAGAATTTTCTAAGCAACATACTGATTATTATGATTAATTACTGATTATTATGATTAATTTATGCAAATAATAGAAATAAATTTGAAAATCAAGGATCTTTGTCTCAAGAGCTCTTCTGACTTTGGAAAAATCAGGAAATGTTCCCTAAGACAGAGACAACAACATGCTAAAATTTCAAGTCATGGTGAAATGTCTGCATGCATGGAGAATCAAAAGACTCAAAATAATATTTAATTAATTAAAAATAAAACATGCATCAAAAGGAATTCAAATTATTTCCATATTGTTCTCCTCTATTCATTGAGCAAGAGGGTATTTTTATTTTATTTTTATGATTCTTCTACACCAAGATATGAATTTTTGAAGTTAGGGAGCATTTTCTGAATTCTTTAATTCTCTATTTATCTATTTAAATGCACGGCGCCATGTCAACCTACGGCGGCTCTGAAGCTCCACACGGCGTGCTCCTATTTGACACTTTCATCCACCTCAACGGTGACTAGGCCTGCGGTTCGCGTAAGGAAGAACGTTCCGGCTTGATCTCATCCGTTCATGAGATAAACGTGCGATCGGACGGCTCTCCGTCATCATCCCCAATGGCCTAGCCCGAGAACCATCCATGTCTCTCTCATTTCTCAACCAAATTGAATGAATTTTTTTTAAAATGCTAGTCTAGACTAGAGGAACATATCTATATGGTTAAGATGTCATGAAATTAAGCCTAGTCAAATGGAGAATCAAAATAAGCTCAGGAGGAGGAGTTCAATACCTTTGCTTTGAGAAGGGAAGCTT